ACCCCCACTGCCACCGCCACCACCCGCTGCTACTACTACTACTACTACTGCTGCTGCTATTCTTATTGTTTCTGTTGTTATTATTACTGTTCTTAATTATATTTAAAAATAATTTTATATAGTATTAACGCATAAATAAAATCTGCAATTGTAAAATATGTAAATTATAATTATTTTACCTCCAGGTTGCAAAACAGTGTACTAGCGCAAGTGATAATCTAAATGTGCACTGTATTGGATATTTTAATTTATTATTTACTAATATAGTAAAGCACATAATAAACAAATAACTTTCATTCAATGCAATAATGATATTTTCACCGCGACTATAACATTTTTAAATATTTTTGTTTTATATTGCCTTTAAAGGATTGTTTCCACTGGGGAGAGGCGTGTTGCAACGAAGCTTTACACAAATATTTGATGATTACTCTACTCCATGCCTGGCACTCAATGCCTAAGAAGGGTTCATGAAAGTATTGTGTAAATCAAGACGCAACAAATTAAAGAAAAAAAATTGCAAGAAATTTTATGTGTGTCATTATGTACTTCATAAACTAAAATAAATATTTCTGTTTTATATTGCCTTTAAAGGATTGTTTTCACTGGGGAGAGGCGTGTTGCAACGAAGCTTTACACAAATATTTGAACTCGGACGAAAAGGAGCAGCAGAAATGGGCAACGATTCTGGAAAAGCTGTTGTCTGGTATGGAGTCATGTGTTCGTAAAGCTGGCCTTGGTGTCGGTAAGATATTGTTCTTCCTTTTTTTTATTTGACAAGAGAAAATTGAAGAGTACTTGCTCATTAAAAACATAAGCTTCAAATTTAAGTGCAGATGTTACTTTCCATTAATTAACAAATCTCTGATTATTATATTGTTGTGTAGATTAATGAATTATCTTGGATTTTGAGTGTCATTTCTTGACTTAATACTTACTTGTGTCATAGTATTTGCTTGGAAACTTAAAATATATTTCTTACACTATTTACTTATTTTAATAAATTTAGTTGTGTTTTGATTTAAATTCTGTAGAATGAACATGTGAGACTGAAAAAAAACCAACAAAATTGGTTTTCTTTGGAGTGTTTTTGAGCTTTTGGATGTTTGAGTTGGTAAAAATTCGGTAGTGAAGATGTGAATGATAAAAATGTTTGCTTGTTGTGTGTATGTAGTGCAGGATGTATAAGCTTGATACCTGTGTATTGTACATATTTTGGTTGTGTATGAATGTGTAAATGGTGTGAACAAAGCTTTCTTGTTAGTATATATGGGTAATTGAATTGTGTGTACATAGGTGTAGGGTGGTGAAGACATAAGTGTTTGCATAATCATTAATTGAAATCAAATTATTCCTTGTAATCAACGATTTTAATGAAAATATGTTTCTTCAATATGTTCCTGAATTGGAGAAATTTTCATAACCACTTCACTTTAATGATCAAATTTATTAATAAATGCCAACTTGTAATAAGAGAAAACAAGTTTGCAATATTCTGTGATGTTGGTTAAACTCTTGCTTAATAGGCATAATACATTCCTGTGATGTATAGTTAATTATGTATAATGCTCATAAATTTAATAACAAAATTTCTCATATATTGTGCAGTAGATTGCCTAATCTGTAAATAAATAAACGCACACATATGCACACACATACACACACACACATGCACAAACACACGCGCGCACACACACACGCACGCACACATGCGCCCACGCACACACACACACACACAATATAAAATTAATTTCACACTAGAACATCTCAGATTCTTTACGTACCTATGCCACCCAAAGATATCATATTGGGACCTTCATATTTTCAGCTGGTTGCTGCTATTATAACTTGTTATTTTGTTGTTTGACATATTTTTATTAGTTTCCCTACCTTTTTGATAATTTTTTAATATTTATAAACATATTTCAAATAAAATATGTATTACAAGTTTCCAATGCCTGAAGAAATTGTAAAAAAAACTCTGCAACCTTCGGCCAAGTGAGAGGTGTGTATTGTTTTGTTAGATATCCAGGAGCTCGGGGGGAAGTCCAAAAACAAGTAAACAGTATTGGATTGTGTTATTCCACCTGTTGTCATGCTGTGCACCTGACGGAATTCTCATACTGAGTGCATCATCTCGGCTTATGATGCAGCTGATGTCATGTGACTGCAAGGCTGCGTTTGTTATGTAATGGTTTTAAAATTCGTGCCATGTAAAGAACTGTTGTGTGTATGTGAGCTATGTGTATATGTAACCGTTGTATGAATATTAGCAGTGTGCATGGTACTTTTTGGAAAACCATGTTGTGTGGTTTTGCACCTGCGGGCCACTAGTATATAATATTTAAGGAAATACACAAAGCAAAAGAATGCAATTGATATTACACGTAATGTTTGATAAAGATATCACATGATCAATCATCTGCAAAATTCTCTAATGTTCTATACGAAATATTTTCTCTACTTAGTACCCAGGTCTGTAAAGTCAACTTCATTTTTATCCGTCACATCCTAGTCATCAAAGATTCTAAGCAGAACTAGGGCCAGTGTGTTAAATATTTTAGTAACTCACATGCATAATAAACACAATTATCACAGCTTGGATGAGGTAACACTTTCCTTGAAAGGAGAAAGATAAGGAAATAAACTTATGAACAATGGTATTAACATGAAATCCATTGCACTTTTCTTCAAACCAAAACTCAAAGTCGGGATAAACAAAATAATAAGAATCATTAATCTTACAGGAAATTTTGCAATATCATGCAGAGGCAATTAGTTAAATTTGCAAGAGCATAGCCCTAAGGCTGTAAGGTATCTCTTTGCCCATGAGTATTCCAACACCATAGTAGATAAAAAGTTGAAGAAAAATAAAAAGATGTCCACCTAATGAAACTCATATAAGAGTGATAAAGATTTGTAAAGATTGTCATTCTCAAAACAAAACTGAAATTATATTGTCAAATGAAATGCCACCAGCATTGCAATGACACCCATAGGTGTTCTAGTTAGAGGAATGTGTACAATATGACAGACATGCGTATGCCACGGGTACCACTCACAGGGGTGCTATTTAGAGTATACCTGCTAAAACAAATAACATCAACCCTAATTTGAAGTACCCTCAAAGGGGAGCAAATTCTATACTTGCCATGGACACCTGAATACCTAGATAAGTCTGTGGTTGTAGTGTTAAATGAACAAAATTATAAAAGATCTAAATTAATTAATTAAATATAAAAATAATTTTTCAAATATGTTTTAATTGTAAAAACAATTTTAAAAATATGTTTTCTCCATCCTACTGTGTAATGAGATAATGAGTGCAGTCAAAAAGTGGAAGAAAGGAGATAGATGTGAGAATGAGAACAGGCAAGAATATGTAATAAAAGCTTTATAGAAAATGAGACCCCTGAAGACACTTGGAAAGAGTGAAATTAATTGTTTGAACAATAGAATCCAGTTAAGATGTCGCCTTCATGAGTCTTCTCTCCTTGAGAAGTTTAAATTACAATATTTCAAAATAAATCTTTTTGCTACACCAAAATCTCACATATGTGTTCTTCCTAAATTCATATAAATCCAAGTATACTACATATTTTTTTGAATTTTTTGTATGATTTTTCTGATTTGTAAGACCTTTTGCTGGAAAGCAGTATTGTTAGCAGTCAATTTAGGATGCCTTTCCAGCCATCCTAAAATTATAATTTTAAGGGAGTACATACAGCTAAAATTTTGTTTTTCAAAAACCCAAGGATCTTCATGTATATGTGCAAGTTTCATGTTGATTAATGAATTTGTTATCAAATTATAATGGAAAACCTTCACTTCTGTTCCTGTGAAATCCTTTATATCTCTATCATGTTCCCTTTATACCCAATCTTCTCAAATCTGGCATTTACAAATTTGTTTTAAAGATATCCTTTGAAGTAATACATACATGACTCTGAAACTCGGCCAGCATCACTAGCTGAATACCTTAATTGCACTCCATGAAGTCACAGAGGTTAAGCAAATTCAAGACATTGCAGGTTCCTGGTTGGGGTCACTGTCTAGAAACCCCAGAATCTAATGGTGTTGAGCGTCTAGCCAAAGAGATAAAAGGCACTGACAGACTTTGACATGATGAGATTTGACAAAAAAATAATGGATTACTCTACTCCATACCTGGCACTCAATGCCTAAGAAGGGTTCATGAAAGCATTGTGTAAATAAAGACGCAACAAATTAAAGAAAAAAATTGCAAGAAATTTTATGCGAGTCATTATGTACTTCATAAACTAAAATAAATAGTTTAGCTGCACTGGTTTTAATTTATCATTTTTTCTTTCATTGGAAAAATCAGTTATTTACTACATTCAAAACGTTATGTAAAATAACAATTTAGAATTTACTGATAGTATAATCCTAGGTCATGTTGTACGTACAATATTGCCCTTCAATTCCTTATAATGCTAAAAAATGAATAAAAGTTGTTTTATTAGTTAAATAATAAATAACAACTTTGAAGGAGTCTTGGCAATATTTTCCTTTTCATTTTCTGTTGATGGAAAGACTACTAAAAAATGCACAAAGTTTGAGATCCAACATATACCTTTTAATGTTGAATGATATGAAATGTTAGAAATCATTGAAATGTTGTATGCAATAGCTGTTTGTACCCTCTTAAACTGATTATATAGAAAATGAAAATTAATACATTTTTTATATTTGATAAATTATTTACTATTGTTTTGATTTTCTAGTGCTCTCTTTTAATAATTTTTTTTTCCATTTGATAAATTCCTGACCTGTGATCATTAAAAGAAATTAAAAATGTTATTTTAGTTTTAATTTTTTTTACATATTCTTCCTTCATTTAATTGCATGTAATTAGCACAATGATTGGCATTCCAGAATTTGTTTTGTCATAACTTTTTCTTGGACTGGGACTCTGTTTCTCAAATATCTGTACTGAAAATACCAATGAATAATTAGTGTGTTTATGGTTACATGTATATTTGGAAGGTGGTGTATGAGTGTAATGTGTGCATGATATTCTGTCTTTGTAAATATACTACTTACCCAAATCAATATTGCAGGTAAACTAGAACTTGTATGTGAGCTACATATAATTCTACTTGCAATTTATTGTTGTAAATGGCAGATATTGTTCTACAAAACATATCTTACCATTGTGTAATACATCTCCCACTACTTTAATTTTAAGGACAAATTAGAGGGATGAACTTATGCATGCTGCTTTTTTGGGGGGTGCTTCCTAATTTCACTAATAAATTCTGAGTGTTGATTTCTGATAAGAACTGCAAAATTGCAAAATTGATCCAGTAAACATCCTACAAACCCCTGCCCTTGTGTTCTAGCCTTTTGTGGTTGAGGGTACCTCTGTTGGTGACTTGAGTCCCAATTGTTATGATGTAGATCTAAAAAATTCCAAAGAAAAATGTTTCATGACAACATTCTGTCCAAAAATGCTTTGTTTATCCATAAAGCACAGTATTATTTAAACACATCATTCATTAACAGAGTACAAAAACAAAACTGAATTGTTGTTGCTAACAGAACTGACATATTTTAATACTCATAAAATCTGAATGAAATTAAAAAGTTATCTATGCTCTGAATACAAGTAGCTACCTGTTGAATAAATAACTGTTGTTTTTAATAGTTTGCCTTCTGAATAGTTACACAATGTGAAAAACAGAATGCACAGGTGTGTGGGTCAGTTGTATCTGAAGAACCTCC